TTCATTGTTGTAGAAAGTTGGAATAATGCTACTGTGATGTGAGCTAGAAATATTTTGAACTCCAAGGAAAATATAAAATGATCAGCGGGAGGATCGTCTGCATGAAAGCTCACAACTCTTGGGGGTGTTCAGTGCCGTCAAAAGAGAAAGAGGGAAGAAACAGGGGAAGGAAGAGAGGAAAAAGGCAAAGGCTGATGGCTGAAAAACATCCCATTATCCTCCGTGATATAAATGGGGCATGAAAAGTTTTATATTTAATAGAAATGAAATCACCAAAGCAGTTGGTCTATCTGTTATCTATCTATTATCCCATTTTTTTTAGATTCACTTGATAACTGTATTTTAAAGCATTAATTACTCCACCGGCTATGCTCGTACAACAAGATAAACTGGGACTACAGATTGCATTGAACTGTAACCAACCGTAGCCCTTTGGAGAAGTTGGGATGCTTCTCTGACGCTTCGTCACCAGCTCAAATTGCTTTCCTAGGGTTGTTGCAAAGTGGATCAAATGCTTTATGAATAATCCCAATGGATTAGTATTGATTTCCTGCTTTCCCTTTACTTTTCCTGTAGGAGTTCGGGCCTGCTTGGGAGAGCTCCTTGCAAAGACTGAGTTCTTCCACATCTTTACCAGCCTGCTGTGGAGATTTAGACTGGAGCTACCAGAAGGAGTGGAAAAGCTCAGTCAAGAGTGCATACTAGGAGTGACTGTGCACCCTTCTCCTTACAAGATTCGTGCTATTCCTCGCACTAGAACACCATAATATGGACAAACAATGAGAGGCTTCCTTGTTAAAATCCATATTACGTGTCTCTTGTTCAACAGTTATTAAATCTACCACGTTCAGGATTGTCTTTTCTTACCTTACTGAATGACTACTCAGTCGATGAATCAGCATAGAGTTGGAAGGGACCTTGGAGGTCTTCTAGCCCAACCCCCTGCTCAAGCACGAAACCTGCCTGTACCATTTCAGACAAGTGACTGTCCAGGCTTTTCTTAAAAACCTTCAGTGATGAACCACCCACAACTTCTGATGGCCAGCTGTTCCACTGGTTAATTGTTAGGAAGTTTCTCCTTAATTCCAGGTTACTTTTCTCCTTGATTAGTTTCCATTCATTGTTTCTTGTCCCATTCTCTGGTGCTTTGGAAAATAAATTGACCCCCTCTTCTTTGTGGCAGCTCCTCAAATATACTGGAATGCTGCTATCATGTCACCCCAGTCCTTCTTTTCTCTAGACTGGCCATACCCAAATCCTGCAACCGTTCTTCATATGTTTTTGTCTCCAGGCACTTAATCATCTTAGTTGCTCTTCCGTGACAATCGTGATATGGGATATAAATTTAACAAACATTAATAAATCTCTTTACTCTTCCTACAATGAGATTGCCAGCTGCCCAGCAACTGAGGCATTTTTATTGGCTTAAGATGGGCTGGGAGAAGGGGAAAAAATGGGCTTTCATTTTTTCATATTTTTCTTTCAATTCAGAGTGTGAATTGCCCTATTTTCTTTGAGTTCCTCTGTAGTCATAGTTATAGAAAATTCAAATGCTTTAATACCGGTAGTCCGCGACTTAAAACTATTCATTCAAAGTTGCAGTGGCACTGAAAAAAGTGACTTATAACCATTTTTCACACTTACAACCGTCGCAGCATCCCCAAGGTCATGTGATCAAAATTCAGATGCTTGGCAACTGACTCATATTTATGACGGTTGCAGCGTCCCGAGATGATGTGATTCCCTTTTGTGACCTTCTGACAAGCAAAGTCCATGGGGAAGCCAGATTCACTTAACAACCGCATTACTAAGTTAACAACTGCAGTGATTCACTTAACAACGGTGGCCAGAAAGGTCATAAAATGGGGCAAAACTCACTTAGCAAATGTCTTGCTTAGCAACAGAAATTTTGGGGTCAATTATGGTTGTATGTTGAGGACTATCTGTAAAGGGAATTGATGCTGTAGCATCTAAATTTGTGCCTCACTGAGTAACACAACTGTGCTGGTCCTGATCCTGATCCTGCATCTCTGGCCAAGGGCCACAGTGGGAGCCATTCAAGAGTCATGGAAACCTCCCTCTTGCTGTATTCTTGGCAGAAGGAGGCAAGATGGCCTCCCTCTGATGCCTCAGAAGCCAGAGTGCCCTCAATGTCTTCCCCTAGGAAAGGGGGCCAGGCTGTGCAAGGGAGGCCTTTCCAGTCAGAGGGCTCCTCTTATCCTCCATCTTGCCTTTGCTGCCTCTCAGAGGAGCTGAGGAAACGGGAGCAGCTCCTCAGCCAGAGACATTGCTGAGGGGAAAATGGCGGGAAAAAGAAAGGCCTCTGGGGATGGTGGGCGACACGCGGCATCTCTGCTCTCTGGGAGCCTCACTGGTCATCCAAGTGACCCTGGTGGCCTCTTAGCCTATTTTATCTTTTACAAAAGGAGAGGAGGAAAAAAAGAAAAGAAAAATGTCCATGGAGATTCTCAGTCATCCAGTTCATGGTTGCCCCAAAGGAGCTTTTTCAAGAGGCAACTGGACTTTCTTGTTTTTCTTTGAACGTGTTTCACTTCTCATCCAAGCAGCTTCTTCAGTTCAGTTTTTTTTTATGTGAATAGAGACTATAGCTTCTTCACTACATTATTCCTTTAGTGGCTCAGCAGAAAAAGTAGCTTTTCATGATGGAAAGAGTATCTAGCAGTGTTTCTCAACCTTGACAATTTTAAGGCATGTGGACTTCAACTCCCAGAATTCCACAGCCAGCATTGCTGGCTGTGGAATTCTGGGAGTTGAAGTCCACATGCCTTAAAATTGTCAAGGTTGAGAAATACTGATTTATTATTTTCTAGCAAATGCTAAGAGAAGACATTTTGGAAACCTTTGTACTTTCATCCAGCTCTGCTTCCAGCAGTGCCTCGCTGTCTAACTTAACAGAAGAACAGAATTGGAAGGCGGAAAGCCAGCATTTCAAACTAATTGGAGAATGTGATTTATGACTGTTAGTTGTAGGAGGGGATTGTGCTTTGATCCTATGTGCTGAAGGGAAGGGAAGTCAGATTTTGGCTACGACTATGTATCCTACCCAAAGCTATGCTGCTCAAGTAAAGATTCTTTAAGGTAAACAATGCCTCGAAGTTCTTTGAAGAGTTTCATCTTTCGGAATCATGATACATGAACTATGAATAAATAAACTCTCCTCGCCTCCTATCTCTTAATTAAAAGCAAAATCTGAAATTCTTGGCTTTCATTCCTTACCAGCAAAAATCCAGTGCAGGTTGTCAGACATACTAATTTATCTATCTCAAGATTGATTGAATAAGTCAACTTGCTATTTCTTCCCTGTACTTTTAATCATCTTAATTCTTAACCCCTTCAAAATAAAATCCCACAGCTTGATTTTTTTTCAGCATTCTTCCAAAGATACTTCAAAACTTTAGCAAGTCTATTTGGTAAATTCATTCAAGAGAAATTCATCTTTATTTTTTTAGTCATTTCTCAGAAAGTCCTTCAAAATTTTTAACAGATTTCTATTATACATTCAGTAATAATAATAATAATAATAATAATAATAATAATAATAATAATAATAATAATAATAATAATAATAATAATAATAATAATAATAAAGTTGGAAGGTACCTTGGAGGTCATCTAGTCCAACCCCCTGCTCAGGCAGGAAAAAAAACCAACGTTTTTTTATTTAATAGTTGTATATCTCTTGTATGTATTAAATCACTTAGGTGAGAATGGTGATGCAGAAATTTATTAAAAAATTAACAAATAATTGAAATATCATCCTGTTTCAATAATTCAATACCTCCTTCTCTTTCCACATTTATAACCACATTCGGGTTAATTTCAAATTTATCCAGAATATTTTGTTCTTCTTCCATCGCATCCTCAACTGTCCATTTATCAATCATTTCTGAGAGTTTCAGAGACCATTTGTCCCAAAAAAAAATCATAATTTTCTCATGGTATTTCATCAAATAGTTAAACTGTTAAAATATTTCCTTCCATTCTTTTGCTATCCTCTAGTTCCCTCTAGTGTCCAATTCTAATATCTAACAGTCCCATGATTTGTTTTGACTAGGGAAGAGGTAAATAATGCCACTTTGTCTCAAGAATTTCCCCCAAAATCTATAATTCCAAGTCCATCTGAATGTTAATAATTAGAGGAGGGGCTGAGCTTTGGAACAGCATATTTGGGGAATTGGGGATATTGAATGTGTTACAGCAGGGGTCTTCAAACTCGGCGATTTTATGACTCGTGGACTTCAACTCCCAGAATTCCTTAGCCAGACAAGGAATTGCTTGGCTGACCCATGAGACCCCCAGAATGGCATGAGTGAGGTTAAAGAGGCATGGTCTGCCTCACGAGGACAGAGCAGGCTTCCCTCCAACTTCAAAATAGAATAGAATAGAATAGAATAGAATAGAATAGAATAGAATAGAATAGAATAGAATAGAATCTGGAAGGGACCTTGGAGGTTTTCTAGTCCAGCCCCCTGATCAAGCAGGATAACCTATACCGCCCCAGACAGGTGACTGTCCAGTCTCCTCTTAAAAATCTCAAGTGATGGAGCGCCCATGATTTCTGGATTAGATTTTAGATTTAGATTTTATTAAATTTATACCCCGCCCTTCTCCCGGAGGACTCAGGGCGGCTTACAGCCAGTTTAAAACAATGATACAATACAAAATTTAAAAAGATTAAAAATAACTATTTAAATTTGGCCGCTTCTACTAAAAATTTAATTTAAAACCCCTTTAAAATACCCCTAGGCCAGTCCTGCCTGCT